CTTCGCCGAGAAAGGTCGGGCTAAGGAGTCATGTGCCGAAAATCCGAGGTTCTTGCCGAGCTGACATTTTAGCGGGGCATTATGACGAATGATAAGTGACCTGAGTCTCAGCAGAGAAAGTGATACCCATTGCCCTGCTTTTTAGAGACACCGGGTTCCTACCTATCTGCAATAAGATACCACAGAGATGGCGTTATCAAGTACCAATTTCTATAGAGACATTAAACAATCTTCAACTTTGACTTTGCGCCACTGTATGTTGTGTTCCAAGAATGCAGAGGGCCGCGGATTAAATCGGCGCTTACGGCGGGCGACGGACGATCCCGAATTGCGTGATTGGCCACGGATGCTGGTGGGGCGCCTTCTTTATCAGATGATCTAATCTGATCGGTCACCTCAGGAAGGCACCAAAAGGTAAGGTAGGCAGGCACAGTAGGTACCTAAAACCTGGAAGGAAGGAAGGAGGGACTTGTGTGTTGTCACTTTCCCCGTCCACCTCAGGCTCCGGTCCTCGCCTGCCGTGCTGCCCACCCGCGACTGCCACGCCTGCATAGCCTGCTGACAGAGCATTCGTTGGTCCCCTGATCATGAGGCCCCGGGGTGTCAGTCTGCCAACTGTGGGTGGTTGACTGGAATCCTTCCTGTTTGCCTGCACATATTTTCACATCATGGCCGCCGGGTAGGGCTGCTGCCAAACGTCGCTTCTGCATCATTTCTCATGGACCTCTGCGGCCGAGTTGCCCATCCATCTGCGAATCTCTGAACTCGCAAAGGTACGAAGACCACAAGTAACACCCATCTTTGCCAACTTACCTATGTACTACCTACGCAAATAACCCCTGCTGACTGACCCCCCCTGAGCAGGCGCTCGATACGGATACACAGCCGAGAAGAATCTTTTCCTCCTATTCCCGCCGATGACTGCGAATGCTACGGTCGCGAGCTTCCATCCATCGCTGAACTCGGTGTGCTGCACGGGGACGTTTCGTCAACGAGACATCACGAAAAGAGGTTGCCCAGACCTCTAGTCCCTTACCTCATCTCCGCCCGCGGCGCGCGTTGCAGAAGTACCGAGACATAAGGTTTTCGCCAAAAAAACCAACAACGCAAGGGAGAACAAGAAGCGACAGAGAAATGTCGAAACTATGGTCGAAGCGCCGCCCTTCCCCGGGCGGCGAGACCTCGCCGCTCCTCGAGTCCGACCCCACGGTCGGAGCACCGAGCCAAGCCGACGCAACCCTCCACGCTCATGATGCGCCTTCGGGCGGCGTCGCACACTCCGATACCGTCGCGAACCAGATCAGCAGTGCCGAGCGCGTCTGGCTTTTTGTCGGGATCTTCCTGGTCGGCTACGCCTATGGCCTCGACAGCCAGGTGCGGGGAACATACCAGCCCTACGCCACGTCAAGCCTCAACCTTCACTCATCCCACTCAACCATCAACGTGCTGCGGAGTGTTATCGCCGTGGCATCGCAGCCCACCGCGGCCAAGGTCGCCGATATTTACGGCCGCTTCGAGACCATCGCCGCCTCCATCCTCTTCTATGTCGTCGGAACCGTCCTCGAGGCCAGTGCGTCCTCGGTGGAAGTCTTCTGCCTCGGCGCCGTTCTATACCAGATTGGCTGGACGTGCATCGTCCTTCTACTCGAGGTCCTCGTCGCAGACTTCTCGTCGATGCGATCTCGCGTCTTCTTCAGTTACATCCCCGCCATTCCCTTCGTGTTCAATACTTGGATCAGCGGCAACGTCACTTCGGCCGTCTTGCGAGTCACATCATGGCGCTGGGGTATCGGAATGTGGGCCATCATCCTGCCCATCTGCTCCATCCCGCTTCTCACTAGCCTCTACACATTTGGTCAGCGCTCGCGAAAGGCTGATCGTCATGCAGAGTCGAAGAAGGCTACCGTCGACCTCTTCCATCAACTCGATGCCATCGGCCTCGCTATCCTCATTGCCGCCTTCTCTTTCACCCTGGCACCTCTGACTCTGGCGGGAGGAACTGTGAGCCACTGGAAGAGCCCGGGAATCATCGTTCCGCTCGCCTTTGGGCTACTTTGCATTCCGGCATTCGTTTTTTGGGAGCGCCGCTACGCCCAGGTCCCACTCATCCCCTTCCGCCTCCTCAGAGATCGTGGCGTCTGGTCCGCCCTGGCCGTCCGCAGCCTTCTCAACTTTGCTTGGTCGACGCAGGGGAACTACTTATACACCGTGCTCGTTGTGGCCTTTGACTTTCCCATCGAGACGGCCACTCGCATCTTGTCATTCTTCTCCTTCTTTGGCGTGTTTAGCGGTGTCTTAATGGGCGTCGTCATTTACAGGATTCGAAGACTCAAGGGCATCATCATTACTGGCGCTTGCATTTTCACGGCGTCCTTTGGCCTTCTCATATTATACCCCGGAGGAGCTTCTTCTGCTTCACAGTCTGGTCTTATTGCCGGCCAAATCATTATGGGCCTGGCGGGTGGTCTGTTTGCGTACCCAACGCAGGCCTCCATCCAAGCGTCGTCGGACCGGGAGCACGTTGCCGTCGTTACAAGTCTCTATCTCGCCATCTTCAACGTCGGAAGCGCCCTTGGAAACTGTCTGTCGGGAGCCATGTGGACGCAGCTTCTCTATCCGTCTCTCGAGTCTAACCTCGAGTTCCAGCCGAATAAGACCCTGGCGGCGCTGGTCTACAACTCGCCATTCTCCACCATCGAAGATTACCCGGTCGGCGGAGAGATCAGAGACGCAATTATTGACAGCTACCGTGGTGTGCAAAGGCTTTTGTGCATTGCTGGACTGTGTATTTGCGTGCCCATGGTCGGCTTTGCTTTCGCGTTGAGAAACCCGAAGCTGTCGGAGGAGCGGGTTCAACCCGAGGCTTCGGCCGATTCGGAATGATCGTTACGACTACAAGAAAGATGACAAAGTTTCTGCCTTTGCAGACTTCTTTTCGAGACTGGTCCCATATAGCCAATGGGTTACGATACATAAGGTATCAGAGTTGTTGCTGCACAAATAAATCGATAGAGCAAGCGTTGGATTTCTCCATTAGATCACTTTTCTGTTTACCATTTCATATAACGGCGTAGCTTGCCAAACGCAAAAGCTTGGCAAAAAAAATGACATTTATCTGTTGTTGCTGCATCAAAACTTTGCCTCAATATTAATACTCAAGGCCGCTGCTGCGTAGTAGCCAATCCCCTGACCAGCCCTTGTGGTATCCCACCTCCCTACCTACTCAGACGGAGTCTTGAGTAGTCCGGATTTTTCAAGACACAATCTCTCAGGAGTGGTACATCCATGTTGTTTGCAATTAACCTACTTCATAAAGTTTTGATGGTTTTCTCGGCAGTCAGGTGGTTCTATATAGCGCCCGCGGGACGCGTGGGGTATTCCGCAACTTCGTCTTTGCTCTACCCACGTCTTTTATATCGGACGAACTACAAAAAAAGCTTCATAGACTACCTAATGTGCAAAGGGCTTTGGATTTCTTCTTTTTTCTTCAGTCACTCGTTCCGACCATGAGATTCTTGTCTTGCTTCACCTCGCGGTGGCCGTTGCGCTTGCCACCATCGAGCAAACTACTGTTACCAACACGGTCCCGAGCATCGTTCTAGTTGAGTTGACTGAAGAAAATCAACAGGTACTTTATGAAATATGAAATACACCAAGTTCGTTGCCCCACGAGACTAATCTACCCTTCTAGAATCTAGACGTTGTTTTCAACACCATAGAACGACGCTTGTTCGACTACCTATGCATAGTTACCCGCCGTCATACCTTAACTCCCTATCCTTTCGCGGCCTCTCGTTTGGCTTGTCCTGCGAGGGAGACAGGGAAATAGTCCGGAGCGAAATACTGCCTATGATCCAATCCCTAGACATTGTCAAGAAGGCTTCGTTCGCCTCGTGGAGTCATAAAACGCCTCAACGCGGACAACAACACCCCCAAGAGCGATATGGAGCTCTCCCAGGAGAGACATCACATATATTCAAACGACAAGCCACCACATCCCCCAACAACGAATTGTACGAATCACCCGTCCTCCCAACACACAACGACACAGGTGTATCCCGCCTTCATGCCGAAGGCACCCTCGGGACCGGCATGCGCATCGCAGTAATCGACACGGGCTTCGATCTCGCCTCACCTGGACTTTCCGAGACGCGAGTGACGTATAACTACAACTACGTCTAGGACGCATTCGACTTTACAGGCGATAATTGTATCAACTTCCTGCACGGGACGCATGTATTGGGTATCATTGCCGCCAAGAGCGAGGAAAGAAAATTCGGCGTTGTTGGCGTCGCGCCGAATGCGACGGTTGAGCTGTATGGACTTGATCCGTGTGAAGGTGCTGCGCCGGGTGGGTTGGATGATTTGATGGCTGCCATTGAGAGTGCTAGTAGCAAAGGAGTTGATCTTATCATGATTGGGTATGGGATCGGACTTGCTTTTGAAGAGGGTGAGTCCACAACGTTTCACGATAATCTGCCCAGACTTTGAGTTACGCTGAAGCTGACATTGTTCGGGCAATCCACTAGAACCAGTCGCTCGTTTGGTCAGCCAGGCTGTTGCGAATGGAACGGCGTTGACGGTTGCGTCTGGGAATGGCGGGCCTGGCTTGTTCACGGGCGGATCACCTGCCAACGCCCGTGGTGCTGCGGCGATCGGGTCGGCGGATAATTCTGCGACGCCGTACTACACGTGGCGAGCCAACTTCACGTCTGGACATGAAGCTGGATTCGTTCGTTACGCGCCTCAATTTCCTGCTAACTTTCCTGCTGGGAATAACCTCACTCTATGGAGTCCTGGCCCCGCGGAAGGGCTGCCGGAGGGGTGTAACCCCGCGCCGGGGAGCTTTATACCTCCCACCGACCCGGCGAATACGATCATGCTCATTGAGGGATCATTGCTGGTTGGGGCCTGGGAATACGTCAACGCGGCTTGCGCTTGCGTTGGGGATTCCGTATGTGCTGAGGTATCAGCCTGCGCCGGCCTCCGTCGTTGATGGAATGCAGTGGCGGCCTGGGTTTGCAGAGTATTCCAGGGACTTCAAGGGCATTGCTCGGATCTCCAACGAGGATGGGCTTTTCTTCGCGAGGTTACTTTCCAACGGCTCGTCTGTACGGATTTCCGTTCCGTCCAACACCTCCGAAGCGCACGAGGAAGTACTTTACCAAGACAATGACATTTCGGGTGGTCTCGTCTCCGGGTTTTCTAGCTGGGGTCCCACGCCCGAGGGCAAGAGTTACCCGTCCTTCATCGCACCGGGGGAGAACATTCTCAGTACTTTCCTGCCGAGATACGGCGGTGTGGCAGTCGTTGGTGGAACGAGCATGTCGAATCCGTTTGCCGTGGGCGTGTACGCCCTGGTGAAGGAACGGCATCCGGACTACAATCCGCAGCAGATTCTTGCGGTGGTGGCATCTACTGCGAAGCCTGTGCAGTTCATTGATGATGCAAGGCAGAAGAAGGACGTTTTGGCGCCGGTGTTTAGTCAAGGTGGTGGACTTGTTGATGCATGGGATGCGGTTCACACCGTTTCGTTGGTGAATGTCTCGAGTTTGGACTTTAATGACACGGCGCATCGTCCTGAATCGCTGAAGTTCAGTTTAAGGAATACTGAGAAAGAGATGTTGAAGTATCAGTTGAGGCATCTGGGTGCGGCATTGGGGTATATCCTGAGCGAGGCGGATCCCTACGGTTTGTCCGGCGCGGAAGGGTATCCGGTGTATGCGGACGTGGATATCTCCCCAGCAGAGGTGGAGCTTGCTCCGGGCGGATCTACATCAATCTCGGTATCCGTCAGATCGAACCCAGCGCTTCCGGAGACCTCTAGGGGCGTCTTCTTTGGAGGCTACATCGAGATCGTGTCCTCTGCAACTGAGGCGAATACCCTCACAGTTCCATACGGGGGCTTCAGCACGCCCCTGGTCAATATCCCAATGATCAACCCCAACGCATCGCACCTCGTCAAAGTTGACCCCTCCACAAACCTCGACACGGAGGTTGAACCCGACACACTCTTCACCTGCCTCTTCAACGGGACCATCCCCAAGCCGGCGTGGCCTGTGAGCTGCGACCTCGGCTTCCCCGGCTTCCGAAAGGTGTTTGTCACCGCGAGCCGGGAACATACCTACGACCTGGTCAGCGCCGACACGGGGGAGGATATCTTGACTGGGACGTTCAAGGGGAGTGCGGAAAATTGGGCTGCGCCGTCGAGTTGGTGGGTTTGGGATGGGTCAGAGGAGGATCGGAAGTATGTACCTCTCGGTGCGTATTTTTGGAGGGTGAGGGCGTTGAGGTTGAATGGGGATGCTGGGAGGGAGGGGGATTGGGATGTTTGGGAGAGTGGGAGGTGGAGGTTGGCGTATGATGAGAGGAGTGTTGGGCTTCCTGGGAACGGGACTGGATTGGCGTAGCAGGTTCAAGATACTTGAGGTAGGCCGACGCTGTTTCGTGCCCTTCCGGTCCCAAGTCGGTAAGAACTGATTCTTATGCTGTTGAGTAACGTTGTCTGACAAGTCGAAGTGGAAGGACATCGCTTTAAGATAACAGGAGATCATTGTATTTTCATAGACTTGGTATTTGTCGCGTGAGCCATCGATCACCGCGTTCTAAGGTAGCTAGGAATGGATCAATGGCAATATATGAGCAGGCCACGTCTGACTTCTCTCTCTTCGATTTACTAGTGCCTCGGGTCACTTAGCAAGGCACGTCGTTACAGCAAGTTCCGACATCGGTGTCGGTGCACCAATAGCCATTGCAGCAGGTGCCGTCGCAATGGCAGCGAGCCTCGATCTGTACAAGTCATTAATGAGCATTCGTTGGATTGGATCGTATTCTGGAGATGATTGTGCTTACGAGTGTCCTTACGGCGTGCTGGTTCTCGCTCATGGCAACAGCGTTAACGCCGGCGATGATGGTAGCGAAAACAGATAGGATGGTGGCGGCCTTCATCTTGTTGTTGATATTGGCAGAATCTTGGTGGATACGGTTGAAGAGTTGAGTAGGCGATGTTGTGACTAACATCAACCAGCTCGGCGAATTGAACAGCACTCGAGTTTATATACCTCCAGGACCTTCTTCCCTGACCCGTGGTCTGGTTGCTGAAACTTACGTCCATCTCAAGGAGGTCAACATCATTCAGATCTACTATCTTTGCTCATCCTTCAAATCCTCCACCAGAGCAAAACTAGAAGGACCCAAGACCATGGCTTAAATCCATCAAACCATATTGAAGAGAGGTTAAAGGTGAAGAAGGATCCGTGGAGTCTTGGCCGTAAGCTGGTCACTGGGCTAAGTCGGTTTTGGGAAGGTGGCTACCCCGGCAGTGATCCGAAGGATCGGGAGGCCCTGGTTGAGAGGCCGTTGGAGGATCGGGCAGGCGATATTGGCTAATCTGAGAGGTGAGATCTCGGTGTGTGAGAGCTAGGTCCAAAAAGGCTTTTACGAGCTGTCTCGGAATGCCGGCGATGAATTTGATGACGCTACCCGAAAAGACGAGTGTCGAAGATCGGGTTGTCTAGGTGACATTCAATGATAATGAGAAGCAACCACAAGATTATAAATGACACAGAAGAAATTTGAGAGGTGGTATAATTTCTCGGTGTTACATGATACATGTAAGCAAAAGACCACCGTCGGCTGAGCTGTGGGCGACTAGGAGTAAAGGGAGCAGCCTCAAATGCTTTGCTGCATGAGAGAATATTCTCATGCAGCCATAGAAGATTTAAGAGGAATCAAACATGAGGACTCTCTCAATCTCTGCACTTCAAACGATTTCAACTAATACCTACTGTCCCTTCTCAATCTTTTCCATTGCTAGGTAAGCATCTCCAGCATCCTTCCGCGCCTTCTCACCAAGCCCCTCAGCATCCCGAATGACCGCAAACCTCTCCTTCCACAGCTGCCACCGTTCGGCACAAAGCCCATCAGTCCCCTTGAACTTGCGCCTCATCTTCACAGCTTCCTGTTTATCAAGCTTCCACAGGGGTCCAGCTGTTGCTCCGCTGACCACCTCATCGCGCCCGTGTAAGAGGTGACCGGCGTGAACCATCCAAGCTGCGGCAATGCGTGTCTTGTGTGTGATATCCTCTACGGCGGCTGGATCTGAGTTGATTTCGTCTGGGGCACCGCGTACAGGCTTGACGGTGCCTTCGAGCGCATCTACGAGCGCCCAGATGGCATTTGTTTCGAGTGGGACGAGACCTAGGCCTGCGACTCGGGCTGCGTATGCTTGCAGGTTCACCTGTCGGTCTTTTCTTGCTTCTTCACTGGGAGCTCTTGGATCGCCTATTATGAGATATCTTTTCAGCAAATGCTATGTGAAGGGAGAATTTCTCAAAAGGTAGTTGCAACATCAGAAGCGGGGCATGATCTTACCGTCACTAAGCGTCTCGTTCAAGGTATTCGCAAACATGGGAAGACTCTTCCACACATCGACCGAGCTCTCTCTTGCACCTCCCCATTCTTCGCCAAGAGTCACGGTCTTGGGCGGGAGGCAGACGAGCGCCTTGATGACTGCGGCCAGCTGATCTTGTTCACGCTGGTTGTAAGGGATCTGGCGGGATAAGTCGTGCATGAGGTCCCAGAACCACCAGAGGAAAGAACCTGCTGTGCCATGTTCTTCGTAATTTGAGATGAAGAGCGAGTTTATTTCCGCGGCGGCCTTTTCGGCTGAGATGGTATTCTTTGAGTCGAAGGCAGCATTGAGTATCTCGACGACTTTGGCAGCGAAGGGAGGCGCACCGGGGTCTTCTAGTTGGAGATGCACCGCCGACATTGTTGGTTACGAGATAAGAATGACTTTGCGATTGACTGTTTGTTACTTTCTGGATCCAAATGCAGCTGTAATAGAAGATCTTTCCTTCCAGATATCTTGAAGTTTACAGCTTGACAATGTGTCAATCGGGCGTCGGGGTGACAGATAGTTGCATCGAGTTTTGGTAGTTCAAGTAAAGCTGCCGTCATCCGGCGAAGACTCTCAATTAGAGTTCGCCCCCTAGCCCATAAATAAAAGCCCGGCTTCTGAAAAGGGAAAGTCTCCAGGCCCCTCCAAGGCCCCAGGGATGAGTCTTCCAGGCCGCAGTGCGTGCCAGGATGGGCGACCGTGTTTCGGGGCCCGGCGTCCCCGTCGGCGCTTGCATAGCCCTAAAAGGGGGGGCCGCCTTTCCTTTCCCCTCAAACGGCGCGATGCCGCCAACCCGTGCCGGGCGCCGGTGCACCATGAACTTCAGACGCCCAGAGCTCGTTTCTGCTAGGCAACCAAAGTTTAACAAAGTCTAAAATACGTGGTTTGTTTGGGGTATGTTGGCTATAGTTGGTCATCCTATGAACCTTGCTGTCGATAAAAGGGGTAATGGCAATGCCCCGTCCCGTGCCAAGCATCGTGTTCGAATCGTCCGAAAGAGAGAGATTTTCTAGGCAGAAAAATAAGGTCGTTCGATTATTCTGCCTCTCTTAGTATCATGATCTTCAGATACCCCGGCTTCCTAGTCTATCTGAAGTATGTTACCAAGCTAAAGGCGAAGTTTGAGCTATTTGACATCCTATGACATTGGTATCATGCCCAGAGGCAATATCAACACTTAGACTTTCGCTCGTTCCGGATGTCAGGCAAGCCCTGGAGTGCTCTTTTTACGGCCTATGAGATGATGATTGGCTACTTTGGCATGCTTGGCTAACAGAGATGATGTTTTTTGTTTTAGACTCCGAGAAAGCATCCCTCAGGCCGGCTATGGAGGCGTTAACCCGTTCGCTGCAAGGTTACATTTGGTGGGGGCAGTCGCCAGGTCATGATCACTCGGCGAGCATACAGTATCATGATCGGCAATGTCAAAGTCTCGTACATATGGCCTGGTACTGGCCGGCGGAGTCAATCACCCACTCTTTCGGCACATCTAGCCGATGCATTGGTGCATAGCAAGAGGGAAACTCACTTGTCAGAGTCATTCGGGACCTTTCACAAATGACCTTGTCGTTTTCCACTCACATATAGACGCTTTTGAGGTGTAAGTCACCTAGTCAGGGAATATGTAGGCCCGAACTGAGATGGCTCGTTGCTACTTTGGGATCCTTCACTCTTTCGATATTGCAAAAAGAAGTTGGGCCCTCTTACACGCCGGTATCTAGCCATAAGGTAAGCGGTTGAAATGCACGCAACTATCGACTTGCCACCAGCATCTAGATCTACCGTGACGATTCATCGACACTGTATGAAGAAGTTGTAGAGTATTTCGGGCAATAAGAGTTGCGAAGAGTTGTGTTAAGTTGCAAAAGCCATTTGGCATAGTCTATGCAACTATTGACAATACAAATTCGGCCTATGTTGTGATATAGTGTATAGTCTACATGACACTTCGAAGCGCATGTTATTTTATCCCGATTGTAGCCAAAGTTAGGATTGGATATAATTGGGCCTCTGAGATATAAGCAGATCATGTTGGCGGCCATATATTGCTACATCACTGACTCGCAATGAAGTGTGAGCATAGACCACGTTCACTCGGCTGGACCGGGAACATGGCTGACAAGTTCCCTCGAGACATCTTGGAGGCCTAGGAGAGTAGAAACAACAAGTGCTCAACTTCATGAGATAAATAGCGTCGTCTTGCACCGACAAAATGAAGAAATCTCCAGCTCACTCCTCATCCAACGGTACTTCAAAGCCTCTTACATTCCTTTACAACTTGGAAACATTCAACCTTTTCTCACGCTCATTTCGCAAATTATCTTACTTTCAGTAACATCAACTCGTCAAGATGGTTTCCTACACTTACATTATCACTCTCCTCGCTGCCACCGCCAGCATCGCCAGCCCGACCCCTCTCTTGGGCGAGGATGGCATCATCGAGACTCGTCAAGCCGGCCAGGTAATTACTCCAGAGCCCTCCTCCTGCCATCTCCGTATGGCATCAAAACTAACCATCTCTCAATAGTCCTACACTTGCAAGGCAGGAGCCAAGAACGATGGCGCCTTGTACGGAACAGTCAAATACGACACCTCCATTGGATACCTCCGCGAAGCCAAGACCACCGCGGGCTCCAGCGGGTACCCCAAGCCGTTTGACAACAGGGGCAACGTGATGACCTTTGCCTCGGGATGCTCTGGCACCGTCTACGAGCTCCCTGTCCTTGCTGACGGCAAGCGCTACGACTTCAACGCCAAGAAGGGGACTACCAACCGCCCTGGCCCTATGCGTGTTTACTACACCAAGGATCTCAAGTTCTGCGGAATTGGAGCCAAGGAGAAGGCTGACGGCACTGGCAACCCCCACGACTGCGCCGCCAACTAAGGGGTTCTTTTTTTGTTGGCTTGAGGAATTGCTTTGATAGATGTTCCTTATGTGATGGAGGAAGACGGCGCATGGTGTTTCTGTATGAAAGATGAAAAAGATGGTACATAGACAAACATCCAAGTACAATCTTTCAACTTATCGTCCAGACATCGACGTGACAGCTGTTCCCCTCCGAACTGTTTGACTTCAGCCGATGCAGAGCGCCAAAAGGCCTTTGAATGGCCTTGCCCACTTTTTGGTCGCTCCAGAGGACTGGGGATAGCATGGAAAGCTCATGGATTCCGAACCGAGGAATCACCTCTAGGTGCTTATTGTTAGGCCGTACATACTAACGAGCTCTAAGTGGTCGGATTGCTAGCTTGCTACCCCCTGAGAACGATGGCTGGACTTAAGTGAAATACAACTGACTAGGGGTTGGATATAAGGTACCGCCTCAAATCATTGACAGCCAGAAACAATGCATAGGATGCGAAAGAGACATGCCCGAAGTGATTAACGAGAAGTGCTCAGGACTCCGGCCGGACCAACACCTCCTCCCTTTCCTAGCATCAGGGCTGAGAAGAGACAGGGGCACGTGGGTAAAAAGTGGCTTGAATGCGTGATGACGGCAGCCACAGCTTACAAGCGAGAGACAATATCGGTTCCCTTCCTCCACCTTTCCTTCCCGCCCGGACGAACCCCTCCGCTCTGTCCTCCTTCCCCGTGGCAGTTGTGTGGCACAGACCATGTACCTGCTCCTGCCGTCCAATTGTTACTGGTGAGAATGGCACGAATGGAAAGGTGCGTGGCTGGAACGACGTTGTGTGATTGTCTGTGTGGCTGGTGACGTCACGATGCCGACGTCACGGGCGACAATTCTCACCACACATGGCAATCACTGGCGTCGGCTCCTGCCTGCCCCAACCCGCCGCTTTGGTTCGGTTGGGGTTAGCCAAGTCTCAGGCGGCAACGCCCATCGCGTCACAAGGACGTTGTTTTTCGTCCGCGTGGGCTCTTTCCTTAAAGTCAACGGTGCGGCCAGATCTCCATCGACCTTGTGAGCTGTTGGAGCTAAAGCTGAAGCTTCCATTTATTCACCTTTGCCAGATCGCATCCAGACTTGCAAGCTCATTCACAAACCAAACACTCCAACTTTACCAATATTACAACACAAACCGTCACCATGGCCGTCTCCAACGCGATTCAGGATCTTTTTAGCAGCATCTACGAGCTCCTCTCTTCCATCTTCAACGCCTTCTACCACGTCCTGCAGACCATCTTCAACACCATCATCGGCTTCTTCACCGGTCTCGTCAACCTCGTTACCGACGTCTTCCAAGGCGCAATCGACGTCGTTGGCGGACTCGGTAAGTTCGTCTTGAGTAAGTCCTACATCACTAATACAGCTGTTCGTCGTCTTGTTGCTGACTCCCTTTGCCAACAGGCAATTTCGTCATCATTGGCGTCATCGCGGCCGGCGGCTATGCCTACGTCCGGTACACCTCGCAAGGTCGACAGGTCGCTACCGGAAAGAAGACCGCCTAAGCAGATCGGTTTTACACAAATTGTTGACGAAGGTGCTACACAAAAACCCAATGTGGACAATACGGAAGGTTAAGCTTGGTGGGAGACACACGGGATGAACGTACAGGGATGGGCTTTGACGCAACAGCACAGGATCCGATGATACCACTATTGTAGCCGGTTTTTATTTCAACAAAGATACCTTTTAGCAACGCAATCCATTCGTTTTTCTTTCTCGTGCTACTGGTCGCTTGACTCCTCCGTGCACTATTGCCGGAGTCCGCTCCGTCACATCGTCTTGAGCACCTCCGGCCGAACCTCACTCCGAAGCGGGTCCCAACCCGCTTCCGCGATTCTCATCATGGCAAGATGGCCGAGCGGTCTAAGGCGCCAGCTTCGGGTTAAATCTGATCCTGCCCGTGTGGGAACACGCGCGGGTTTGAATCTCGTTCTTGTCATAATCTTTCTGCTTCGGGGCGTATTTGTTGGTTTTGTCCAAGGAAAGTTTGGTCAAGTCGAACTTGCGGCCCATGCCGATGAGGTGGGCGGCTTTGTGGCGCGGCTGGCGCTCAAGTTGAACAGCCCTGAGAACGCGATGCTGCCCAGCAAGGCAAAGAAGCCATGCATGATGCATCACTTGGCTACACCGAATGCTGCCTTGGTATCCTCTCATATGGTCGGGGACGATAGATAATGGCACTTGGCGCGCGCCGGTTGTCCGTTGAACAAAACTGCTCCAGAGCCGATTGCGTCCGTTGTTGCGCCGACTTTTTTGTCCGTGTAGAAAATTAGAGACTCTCGTCTGGCTAGCCGTGCAACCGCATCGGGGCTTTAGAGAGAATGCTGAATGACTAGGTCTCGTCCCTCTTTTTTCTTCGCACTCGACTTGTTTCTCGTACGCAGTCTTCATCTGCTGCCTGATGGAGGAAATGACGGAGAAGATGATACGGCTATTTGCCTTCATGACACGCCGTCACTAGCGGCATCCTGGAAGGAGGAGATCTACCTAGGGTAAGACCGCAAGTCCACCGCCAGCTCCACTCTCACCACACAGGATACTGAGTTACCAATTTTGGTCTTAAGGGTATCAACATCCGATATGGTGTAGTGGCCAACATGATGCCCTCTCATGTCCTTGAGAGGTTAGGCATAGCCCCGAGTTCGATTCTCGGTTTCGGAACTTTTGCCTCTTGTCAAGGCTGTTCGGTTTTTTTCTTCTTTTTTTTCTTGTTTTTTTTTTTTTGAAGATACCGGCTGTTGTTTGGGTGGCTTACGAGTCGAAACTTTTCAATTTTACATGGAGCGTTACGATTACATAAGTAAGTACTCTAAGTAATTGGGGTTTTACGATAGACAAGCTGACATTTCGTCGTTGGATGCATCAAATGAAGTAAAGGTACTTTGCTACTTGATGTACATACCTTACTTATTCTCATGCGCCAGCCTGTCCCAACACTGGAAATGCTCAACTTTGTTGGTGCTGTCAAGATCGTAGCCGCCGTGCCGCTGTCCAAGAAAGCTTAGCATCTGCTTGAAGAAGCAGGGGTTCGTTCGTCTGGAGTGGTATTTTTTCTGTTCCTTTTCTCCCCCACTTTAGCCCCTCCGCACGCACCGAGTTCGAAGTACATACATATTCGCTTTTGCTCCTCTGTGGACCGCCCAAAATTCATGCTACAAGCAGCCAGAACCGTCAGATCACAATTCCTAGTCGCGGGAAGATACCGCTGTTGGGCTATCTACTCCGTACGAAAATTTTGGATTGCTACGCATAGTAAGAGGTATAACTACTGAACTGCAACATGCGTTGGCTTTGAAGCTCGTGTTGACTCCCCCACTGACTCCCCGTGGCGATGGAGAAGACGCAATTCGGCAGCCCAGCCAAGACCCTGTGGACTTATCCCACCGGCGGGATGTGGATTGTGTGGTGGATTGTCTCCGAGAGTGAGGTTCTCAGATTTTCCCGTCATTGAGTCTGTCATTGAACTTCATTGCCAGGTACGTTAAGCTCATCGGCACTCTGGAGACTGTGTTCGATTTGAAAGGCTCCCTGCGTGAGGCAGGTAAAGAGCTTGCCAGTGATACTTAATGGAGGTTGATGAAAGCTACCTGGGCGCACCATCTCATGTTCGAAGCTTTTTTGAATCCTTGGAGGTTCCTCGGTCATCGGCCACGCATCGGCGGACTCCCACCCACATTCCGCCTAGCTCTCTGCACGCAAAAACATAATGGATACAACGTACCATTCAGCCAGCGTCAACATCATCAACTGGCCGCGGAAGTGCAGAAGTCCAGCAACATCAAGAGTCAATGAAAAAAAAACCTATTCCGGCGCACTCGACTTGGATCTTATTTTTATCACGCCCACCTATTAGCCTACGGTGGCTGGATGAAGGGACGAAGCAACGCCGCAGCGTCACCAAATCTGAATGCCGATGAGCGGACCGGACCGTTGACAAAACAAAATTGAATCCTCCGCACGTTGACTGGTCGAGTCCGCCACGAAAAGCCTGCAAACCCGCGCTAAACAACTTGAAGCCATTGAAACTGGGGCCGACGGCGTTTCTGACCACCATCCACGCCCCTCGTTCATCACGACATGGAACCAATTCCGGGAACTTCCTGTAGTTCCTGCGTGGCCTTTTACTTATCTCACGCCCTCCCACTCCCACCCTTGTCGGTCGTTCTGAGTTCATCCAATCCGGGATCACTGATCTCTTTCAATCATCTTATCAGATCATCTAATCTGATCCTCTCGACTCCACCGTTCAGCAAAGGATGCGACCATATTCACGCATCGCACACCCCCTCCCCCCAGTAAGACGCACTGGCGGAAGGACGATCACATCGAAAGGACCAAACTTACAGAACCCCCCCTTGCTGAAGAAAAAACAAAAAGTCAGAGAGAGAGAGGCATTTTCCCTCTGGTTATTCTGCCCCGGATGTGACATTACGTAGAGCCTAGGATTGGTACAAGTAGGTCGTAGATGAAATTTGACCCTAATACCCCGCCATCTCCTTCACTACGTAGCTTTTTTCTCTTCTTTTGTACTGCGTGTGGGCAGCAAGAGTTCTTTCGTCCCTTTTTTTGTTTTGTTTTCTTCCCCTCCCTTTCGTCATCTTCCCGGAAAAATAGCTTGGCGATACCCTCCCAAGCTTTGAGGCTCACGATGTTTGGCGTTTCCAACTGGCTAATCGCGGCCAGCGTGGCTCTCGCCACGGCCGTGTACTGGGCTTTCAAGGCCGTGTACATGAGAACCAGATTCAGAGGATTGGTAAGAGCTTCACTCCGACTTCAACTCACTCCGCCGCATCCTGCGCGCGCATCAGAGTAGACAGGCGCAAAGCATGCAGCTCATAAAAGCCACGATACTGACTCTCTTGGTGTCTTTTTCACAATAGCCTCAACCGCCAAAGCACTCATGGATCTGGGCGCACACAATCATCTGGGAAGAGCTGGCAGCCACGCTCCCGCTCTTCACCCACCCCCAGCATATCTACACCATCATGGCGCAAAAGTACAACCTTGGCGGAATCTTCTACGTCGACATGTGGCCCTTTGTCGAATCTCAGGTCATCATCACCGACCCGGACGCCGCCCAGCTCGTCCTCACCACGAACCCCTACCCCAAGCACCCCACCATCGAGCAGTTCCTCCGCCCTTTCACCGGCAAGGACAGCATCGCAGCGTCCAATGGCGACCGCTGGAAGTACAACCACCGCATGGTCGGCTCCGGCTTCACGCCCACCTACGTCAAGCCCATGGCCGGCATGATTGCCGAGCAGGTCCTCATCTTCCACGAGCGCCTCCGCGCATTTGCTGCCAAGGGCGAGTCGTTCAATATGGAGGAGGAATCGGCCAAGACCATCTTTGATGTTGTCGGTAAGATTGTGTTTGGTGTCTCTCTCGAGGCCCAGAGGTCTGGCTCGCCACTGCTAGAGGATCTGCGAAACTCGATTAACCCCGCGACCACCTTCATCGGCACCCGTAACCCGTGGAAGAAGCGCAAGGCGCAGCAGAAGTTGCAGGCGCTCAAGGATCGCGTTAGGGATACCTTGGCCAAGGAGATGAAGGAGAGGTTGCGCATCCTCCAGGACGAGAAGGAGTTGCCTTCGCGACGACAGGTCAAAAGTGTCTTGGACCGCATCGTCCTCGACCGGATCCAGAGCGGACCGGGCATGGGTCTCGACGACGAATTCATCGACACCGCTGTTACCAAGTAAGTTGATCCTTCTCTCACGCATGGCATGTTTGTCCTCGCTAACATCAAAACCAGCCTCAAGGCTCTCCTCCTCGGAGGCCACGGCACCACCACCGACACCTTCACCTGGGTCACAATGTTCCTCTCCCTCTACCCGGACGTCGTTGCCCGCCTCCGCGCCGAGCACGACGAGCACTTCTCCCCGGACCTCGACACCACCGTCGAGATGCTCATCGCGAACCCGCAAAAGACAAACGACATGGACTTCACCAATGCCGTTATCAAGGAGACGCTCCGCTTCTTCCCCATCGGCTTCACCATCCGCCAAGCCCCGCCCGGAACGACGCACCTCGAGTGGAACGGCCGCCGCTGGCCCGTCAAGAACCTCATGGTCATCCCCTGCGCGCACTCGACGCACATGGACCCCAAGGTCTGGGGCGAGGACAGCAAGAGCTTCCGGCCCGATCGGTTCCTGGGCGAGGATGCCAAGGATATGCACCGCTTCGCGTGGCGGCCGTTTGAGCGCGGGCCGAGGGCGTGTATTGCGCAGGATTTGGCCATGGATGAGCTACGCATCATGTTGTTGCTCACGGTGCGGTGGTTCGATTTCGAGACGATTGTGAATGGGACTACGCAGAGGGTTGATTATATGGATATCGATCACAAGGTGGGCGATTTGGCTTTCCAGATGGTTGGTATGGAGGCGAGGCCGAGGCACGATATGAAGATGAAGGTGCACGTCAGGGAGAGGAAGTAAGCGGCCATCTCCGTCATGCTAACCCCGACTAAGGCGTGGTCACTGGAAGGGATTTCTCGGCGGGCTCTGCGTACGTGAACGCCGACTCGGCGATTCTGAAGGTCGTGGTGGTTTGAGGGCTCACGGGGGCGTCTCAATCAGAAGCACTTTAAAATGAGTTGAGGGCACACAGCGAAGAGCCTGGTGGTTTACATCATTCGGGCCGTTGTCACACATTAATGCCATTGTCTCAAAGGTTAGCGACAGCTCGTCGGGAAGGCATCTTGGTGATGGACGATGACTGGGTTCCTCTGCATTTTGGGTCCGGGATTTTATTGAAGCTGAGCCAGACTCTTGGCCCTGAATGATTTGACCAATCAAACTTCAATGAAATGACACTTCACTGCAAGAGGGTTTTGACATCGCGTGTCAAGATATGGTGGGATGGGTGTTCTCCGGTCCGCGTTCGCCCTTGTCTCGTATGTACTCACACGTAGAAAGGAACACTCAATTTTACTCAAGTTCCGACGAACCTTGTCATTAGGTAAAGCCCCAATGTCAGGTAGATGACCAGAAGCAATTGATCATCCAACTAATTTTGCCAATGTGAGAGCATAAACGTTTCTTATATTCTGTCCTCTGTTGGGGTCCATTCCTAGGCAGTCGGTCCGTCACCATCGTATGAGAAGGCTCTTCAAAAGAAATCTCGTATCAGGCGTCCTCCCTTGACTCCTGACCACGACCTGTTATTCAAGCGGAGACATGCCAAATAGAAATGGTCACGAAACATGGACAGTGACTTGTTAGTATGGATAAAACATTCCGGCCCGAGATGAACTCTGGGGTGAGACCAAAGTCCGATTGACTCACGATTGACGTTGTTGATTTGATGGGCCGTTAGCCGAGATGGCGTACATTCCACCATCGTGGCGCCCGACGCTCGCCCCCTTTCCTTTGCCTCTTCCCCAGGAAAATGGCTAAGACTTTGGCGTTTTAAGATTAAAATAGGCGCGGCAGGATGAAAGAACGCAGAAGAGCGTTAGTCGGCCGGCAAGCATGACGGGTAGAACGCTAGCAAAAAATACGAGGGGCTAGGAGCTACGTTCTTGGGAAGAGAATACGAGACGCGACTAACTGAATTCTTGCTGGAGAGCGAGGCACGACAAACACAACAGCACAGGAATGTAAAATGTCATCCAAATCGGATGCGATCCGAGGTTTGCCAACAAATTACCCCTGGGCCATCAACGCTAGCTGAAATGTTTACGTTTAATCAACCGTCTTGGCTTCAACTCGATGTCCTATAAATCATGATCAAAGTTCTCCTTCAGACTTACCTTTCTTTCCACCTCAACCCTCACACTCATTTACAACTTTGACATCAAGTCATACCACACTCTTTTACACAACACCGGTCTTCACCACCCAAATTCCAAACAACATGTCTTCTCACGTGGCTCCCCTCCTGGCCGGCCTGATCATCAGCGCCGCCCAGCTCACCTCCGGCTCCCCTGTCGCCGACGCCCCCATCGCCCCCGTTGCCGCCCTCCTCACCAACGGCACCTACACCCAGGTCGTCACCGCCATCACCACCTACTGCCCCGAACCCACCATCATCTACCACGGCAAGTACACCTACACCATCAAGGAGCCCACCACCTTCACCATCACCGACTGCCCCTGCACCATCACCCACACCGGCCCCATGCCCACCGGCACCGCCGTACCCCCCATCATCACCGGCGTCGTGCCACCCTCCGGCCCCGACTGCGCCGCCACCTGCGCCGCCGCCTACGACAAGTGCCGCGGCGCTCCCGACGCCAACCGCGCCACTTGCGCCGCCGAGTACGCCGGCTGCCTCGGCTACAGCCCCTTCGGCCCCGACGGCTCCCTTGTCACCCCGACCGCCTGCTCCGGCACCGCTACCGCCGTCCCTCCCATCGCCACTGGCATCGTTCCTCCCGGCACCGCTACCGCCGTCCCTCCCATCGCCACCGGCGTCGTGCCCCCCTCCGGCCCCGACTGCGCCGCCGCCTGCGCCGTCGACTACAACAAGTGCCGCTCCGCCTCGGACGCCAACCGCGCCACCTGCGCCGCAAACTACGCAGGCTGCCTCGGCTACAGCCCCTTCGGCCCCGACGGTTCCCTCGTCACCCCGACCGCCTGCTCCGGCACCGCTACCGCCGTCGTCCCCACCGCCACCGCCGTGCCCCCCATCGCGACTGGTATCGTGCCCCCCGCGACCACTGGCGCTGCTTGCGTTACCGGCTGCAACGACGCCTACAACAAGTGCCGCAGCGCTCCTGGCGCCAACCTCTCTACCTGCGCTGCCGAGTACGCCGGATGCCTCGGCTACAGCCCCTTCGGCCCTGATGGTTCGCTCGTTACCCCTACCGCCTGCTCTGGTTCTGCTACCGGTGCGGTGCCCACTGCCACTGCGAAGCCTTTGCCTTCTGTTGTGCAGGTTGCGTCTGCTGGACGTGCGTCTTTCGGGGTCGCTGTTGCGGCTGTGTGTGGTCTTGCTGCCCTTGTTCTTTTCTAAGGGATGAAGGGGGTGAAGTCTGTTCGAGATTGCATCTCGGGTTTTTGTGTATTGGATTCTGTGTAGATAGTTGGCTTTAATGAATTGTATTCATGAGACCGATTTTCTTGAGAGGTATCTTCAATAACCTGGTTGTGTCAAGCAATAGTTGAAGTTGCGCCTGTTCAGTAACATTTTGGTGGTTGAATCGGACTAAGCAAATTTGTGACTTCTAATACCTTTCCTGCCTGCAACGTGTTATCAAGATGATAGACCTTGAGGGTTATAGCTTGGAAGTACTCTCTGACGCTCTTCAGTATACGTGCAGTTATGTAAGCTGACAAAGTATTATCTACCTCTGTGTATGAACTTTTCCCTTATTAGCCACAAGCATCAGATTCCTCGGGGATATCTTGTAATCAAAGATTGGCACAACGTCCACATTTTGCCCACCATTCTCAATCAGGAACAGGTACCGATCAAGGGCAATCACACTTTCAACCACCTTGCAGCATAGAACACTGAGTGTCCAGAGGATCGCTACTTTGCCCTCATATCCTCGGTACCTTTCCTCATAAGCTACCAGGTCAGCATCAGTGATTTTGCTCCCGTCAACATTAAGGCATCCCGTTGCCCTGCGTGCGAACGCGTTGAAGCTAGCCATATCTCCCTTCCGCACACCCCACACCGGCCTGTCCTCCTTGTCGAGCTCTATCCCTTTATCGTGGAAGATCTTCTCCAACAAGGCTCGGTAGAAGCGCCGTTTGGAGTACGCCGACTCCTCCTTGCTCGCATCAGCCCTTTCCCAGTTATTCGGCGCCTGACAGCCCGTCATAAGCGCCGTGGCACTCAGTGTGACGTTTTTCTCGCGCATTTTTGCACTGATGGGGAATCCATCAGGACAAGCGGCGGAACGCGGGACGATGTGGTTGTAGCAGCATCCGACGGCGCCTAGACACACGATGAATGGGACGGTGGTGAAGTACCGCAGCATATGCTCAGAGAGATTCCCGCACGCGTGGAGACCGACGAGCACGCACTTTTCGTCTCCAGCCCAGGCAGCTATCTCATCCGCCAAAGGTGGCGTGCCGTTGATGTAGCGCCGCATATGCTGGATCCTGCTTTCAGGAATACCAAGACTGGCTGCGCAGGCCTTCGAGGCTGCGATCTGGGACTCGCTGCCGTCGATGGCTAGTACGTGGAGCTCTGGGAAGAGGTAGGCTAGTGCTATGGTGAGGTAGCCTTGGCCTGAGCCCATGTCGATGATGTGGGTTATGTTGTTGGTTTGGCAGACGATGTGGATGTATGCGGCGGCGGTGGATACTTCTGCAATCTTTTTGGTCTTCATGCGACTTGTTAGGGTCTCTGGTAGCGCGATAGTTTTGCTGGGGCGTTGGTCTCGTGGAAGGGCGAGGGACTGGACGCTCTTGAGCCACTTAGACAGCGACTCTGGCCGATTTAGTAAGGGTTGATGCCGTTGTCTTTCATCTGCTTCGTCATTTGCCGGAAGTGAAGGTTCCAGCTCTTCAATGCTGTCGATCAAGTCTTGCTGAGCTATGCGATGATCTGGAAACGATGCCCACCACGATGTCCAGTCGGCGGGTAGGGCGTCCCAGGCATTGTAGATGAGTGAGTCGTTAACGTGGATGTCCCCAGTAATCTGGCGAACTAGGGGCGTGTCAATGAAATCGATGAGATCTTCTACATATTCATCGATATTGTTGTATGGCCTTGGTAATGTAACCATTTTCGAGAGATTCGTATCGTTCCGTCGGTGTCGCGTTGTCGAAGAGCGGAAAACATCGGCCAGCACTCTGAGGTAAAAAAGTGAACTCTTGGACGCTCTCCTGCTGAAAGCGGTATGGGGCGGCAGAATCTGATGAAAACAACATGATCGGAGCAAACGAGATGTAAAGTTGGTTTGAACGAGCCTTTTGCAGTTTACTCATGTACCAGCAAGTGGTAGCCACTCTATTAAAAGACTCAACCCACAAGCCGAGAAGGATCGCACATAGTGAGTGGCTAGACCGCTTCTTGTTAGCACTTTAGTGTCTAGTAGGAGTTGAGCCTCCATCATTCAACGCAAAAGGGAATTTTCGCTTTTCTTCACTTCGAAAACCCAACACTTTTTGATCACTGTATTCAAATACTCGAAGAATACGGAAGATTTGGAGGTCGGTGAGCCACCCTCTTTCACTTCCTTGCGACTGACAAGCACTCCTTTCTCGTACTTGATGGCCCACACACCTACGCTCAAATCGCGAGTAGTCGGCTTCACAGTATGTCTGTTTCAATCCCTTTTTTTCGGGGTCAGAATGTGTGCCTTGTTTTCTTTATATCGCGAGGCACTTAGACAACTCGCGTTATGCTCTGGCGAAATGTCATCAAACCAGGTTTGGAAGCCAAAGTCTCACGGGTCCATGGCTTCTCCCAAATAATCTGCTGTCCATATTTGACGTTGAACCGTGTGTACATGTCTCGAAGAGCTGAATTATCCGAGAAGACGTTCGTATGAATCAAGTTTGAGTGTTATCTCAAATATAAAATAGCTTCATGATCTCAGGTGATCAATATGAAAGGTTAGGGCAATGAAACTGGGTGCATACCCGACCATCTAATCGATCCAGTTTTCCATGGTCGTGATGGTACGCTCTTATCCCAGCAGCTTCCAGAATCGTCGAATGAGTGCTTCTTTTCGCTTCGCTCGATATTGAGTTAGACTGTGCTGTAGTAGCTGAGACGTCAAGGTGTATTCCAATACCTATCTTATGTGTGGATCTACATAATCGCAACCAAAACGAAAATGGCTAGTAATTCCGCCCTTTAACCATAGTGCCTTCACTCCATTCGAGTTTCATGATATCCCAAAACTTCCTGTAACGATCCACAGCACCCTTCCCGTGCTCCTCACTAATACATTTGAGCCATTCCTCGTCGGGTTCGGGAAGCTGATGACAGTCTGGCCTGGCCCCGGCGTCCAGCAGTCTCTCGACTATATCCCAATACCCTTCAAAGATAGCCGCATTGACCGCGCTTCTGTATTTCCCGCCATGAATGTTGATGTCGGAGCCCTTCGCAAGGAGCAACTCAACGATTCCTAGCGTGCCATTATGCGCTGCTGCCTGTAGAGCCGTGTTATAAGGCCCGGCTGTCGTGTTGGCATCGGCGCCGTTCTCGAGCAGCAACTCAACGGCTGCTATATAGCCTGTCCACGCTGCTGCCTGTAAAGCTGTGCCAAAGAACCCGCCTATCATGTTGACATCGATTTCTGGGCAGTTGTCGAGGAGATATCTGAGGCCATCAACGCATGTCTCCGGGAACGGCACCGACACACATGCCGACTGTAACGGAAATCCAAACCGGCCAGCTTCCAAATTGATATCAGCGCCATGTTCGAGCAGAAAGCGGACTCTGGAGACGAGAGCGTCGGAACTTTGAAAGAGCTCGAGTGCAGCCTGCAAAGCAGTGCCGTGCTGCTGACCTCTGCTGTCATTTACATCGACACCGTGATCGAGAAGTAGCTTCAGCGTATCATTGCTTGGTGTTCTACGGCTGCCAATCGTAGCTGCAGCATGCCAGGCGCTCCCGAAAATCCCGCCTTGAGCATGGACGTCAGCGCCATGTTCAATCAGTAGCCGCGCGATTTCACATGCAGGGTTATTGGGAATGTCCTCGTCTCCAAATCCACAGGCCGCCTGAAGGGCGCTCCCATATTTTCCGCCAGCAGTATCCACATCAGCGCCATGGTCAAGTAATAAGCGCACTGCTTCCATTTTGCCACTTGCGCAAGCGCTTTGAAGTGCTGTGCCGTGAATCCCCCCTTGCCTGTTGACTTCTGCGCCCTTGCTGAGTAGCAAACTCTCTAGGTCAACATTGCGAACGTTGTTGGAAACCGCGGCTTGAAGCGCACTTCCAAATTTTCCACCGGGGGCGTTGACATTGGCCCCCCTCTCAAGCAATTTTCTCGCGATCTTTAAAGAATAATACTCGCTCAGGCGAGATTCGCTCTGGTAATCACACGCAGCTTGTAAGGCATTGCCCAACTCCCCGCCTTCTACACCACAGTCGGCGCCTCTATCCAGCAAAAGGTCAACCAGCTCCAGATATCCTCTCTGGCAAGCTATGTATAATGCTGTGCCGTAACGGCCTGACTGGTTGATTTCCGCGCCTTTGTCTAGAAGGAGGCGAACTGGATCAAGGCTAGATTTGTCGTAATACTGACACCACATGCATATAAACTGTAGTGCGGTGCCGTTCTCTCCTACCGGACCATTCACGTCGGCCCCCATGCTCAGCAGGTTTTCAATCACCGCAATTACATGAGAACCTGGAAAGTTAAGACGTGAACAGATGCTCCTGCATGCCTCTTGGAGCGGGTCTCGGCCAGAGTTTAAGTTGGGATGAGCGCCCTGCTGTAGAACAAAGTCCAGAATGCTCCGCTTCTCCTCCTGTTTCGAAATTTGGATTGCCCAGAAGAAAGCACTCTCGTGTTTAGTACACACTTTGCTGATATCAGCACCGTTGTCGAGGAAAAGCTGCAAAATCTCGATGCACTCAGTGATCTCAAGCGGGTCGAGCGAGATATTGCCACAAGCCCTAAGCAGACACGACAAGATACACTCCGTTTTGCGTACATTAGCTCCACGACCCACAAGCATTCGCATGCCTGCAAATCTCAAACTCCTGGCCGCGGCTTGCAGAGGTGACCCGGATGCTTCATCATGCGCATCGATATCTGCGCCGTTGTCGAGCAAAACTTTCATGACCGCTAGGTTCCCTTGGCGTGTCGCAGCCTGGAGCGCACCAGAACGTGACGTATGTCGAGCATTGGCGTGGGCGCCTTTTTTTAGAAGATATTGGACGACTTCAACGTCCCCCCCTTCGACTGCCTCTATAAGGGCCAAGTCGAGATCTTCATGAACCACAAATCTGCCGGTCCACGAATCTTCACGGAGCAGCCACTTGGTGAGCTCAAGAGCGCCGAGCTTGGCGGTGTAGCAGTACGGCCGCCGCTGCTTCCCCAAGATCGCACTGCCCCGGGAGAGGGCGCTCTCAGCGAGCGAGAGTACCTCAGGCGTCCACAATGTGCGCGGTACTTGCTCCAGGTGCCATGCCCAGTCGTGGATGGCGTACACAATCAAGTGTGGGTTTCGACCGGTTTTCCTTGGGCATAAACTGTAAGATAGGCAGCAGTGGGCGGTGTGTAGGTGAGCCTTTGCTTCGGTGAAATGGAAACTTCTGGCGCGGCTTTGCTGTATACGATCGGATATCAAATACTCTTTCACCGTGAAATGAGCGAGTCGAACGAATGTCGAGTATCTTTCCACTTCAGTAGTCACGAGGCTCGGGAAATATCGCAAAACTCCTTTCGGGTCAAAGAGCCGCTTTTTCGTAAAATCTCCTGCAATCTTAGGAGAGAAGATAAAGATTTCGGCAAGTGCTTCCAAATGCAGCGGCCTCCTCGCCGAAGCTAGCCATTTTAGAGACCCAAGGATCTGGGGTTGGAAGGCGGTGTCTAAGCTTAGGAGCAGCCTATTATATGTTTCGTCAAGTCCCAAGGGTAGGTCATCCAATGCCGAAAGTATGGCATCTTTGGAATTCAAGTGTTGAAGGACGTCGAATTGGCACACAAGGAATTGAAACCTGATAGATGTACTAAGTATTAGCTGGGACACTACGCCACAATCTAATTCACTCTGTTGACCTACATTCCATCTGCTCTCGCGAGCAATACGTTTTTGGCTTTAACCTTCATGTCGTTGGGCCAAAATTCGTATGTCCTGGTAGCCAAGGCTGAGTCGATGTACAGACCAAGATCACCATTCAAGCCGGTCTGAGTGTCTGTCAGACTTATGGCACGTTTAGCCGGCAGATGCGCTATCTCGTCGATCTTGGTTTTAATGTCCGGTTCGGCTCTGCTCGTACATAGGATGTGGAGATTATCTGGCATTGCAGTAAGGATGTGATTGAGGCAATCTAGCAGCCTAGACCGCTCGCCGTCAAAAGTCGGACACTCGTCGAGAGCGTCTACCACGATAAATACTGCCGAAAACCCACGCACAGCAGCTATGAGTGCCGCTTCAAGGCTCTCTATATCTGGGCGCTCTTTTTTGGCGATATAATTCTCGAACTTCTGGATCGGATGTGGCGTGTCGGGACGGCTCGCGCAAAGTTGGCCAATAAGCGAAGATAACATAAAAGTTACCTTTTGTTGCTCCAGGTTCCCAAAGCTGAAGAAATAGTAAGCCAGCGCAACTTGAGGATCCTCCTCGGACTGAACTTTCAAGTGTTTGATGACTGATGAGCTCAGAATCGACTTCCCGGAGCCAGCTAGACGTCGTCAGTAGTGCAAACCTATCACATGGCTATTGTATGTCATACCTTTGCCGTTGAGCCACAAGAAAGATTTTGGAGCTATTTCCCATCTTTTGTAATCTTCGTTATCTTGAATCAGCCATTCGCAAGTGCCGCTGCGGTGTTTGCCACGCGCGGCATTATACTGCACAGAAGGGTCAACGATGCAAAGCCAGTCGAGCAATTTTTGGCGCTTCATGTCGTGTTGAATTTCTTCAACCCTTCTTCTCAGGTCGGAAACATCTGTGCCAATATTTTCCCAGTGGTTCATGGCTTGTTGATGTCGCGCCTCCGCGTTCTCACATTCGTCCGTGTACGTCTGGTCCCGCACATGATTGCTTACTTTGTCGAATTCAGTCTCGTGATATTTGATCTGTTCAAGCAGCTCTTCCCAGTCGTGATGCTTCACAGAATCAAGCGCCATGCGAGAGGCAGTTTTGTGGTTGTGGTAGCGATAGCATACAACCTGAAACTTGAGGATCTCTCTATACAGCCTTTCCAAGACGATTCTGTAAGCAGCATGCGGCCCCGACGAAGGCTCTCTGGTCTCTGACTCGTAACGCCGGACATAGAGATCCTCCCACATAGAGCTGCGTACTATGAGGGACGATATATGCTCTAGTCCTTTTGCCAGGGTGGCGGCTTGATCTAAGGGATTTAGAAGCAGCTGTGTAAATCATCCAAAATACGCCAGTCTCCCAGAACGGGCAGCGAACGTGAAGGGTAGGAGCTTACCGGCAGTAACAAGCTGACACCACTCCAAGCAATTGACGCGTATGGATTTGAGACTAGAGCTTTGGCAACAAAGTCATTGGCCCAGTCGACCACAGCTAGGACGGGCTTTACAACATCCTGGACTTCCACCTCGGAGCTGCCAAATTTCAACTTCCAAGACTCCCGGTTGACTTGGTCCATCTTGTGCTTGAGGATCATTGTCAACCAGTCTTTCGTTCCGGCATGTGAACGTATGCCAGCGCCGAGGCCAGCAGCAAAGTTCCCACATATCTGGTCCTCGAACTCTTGGACGAGACTTCCTTCTTGATTTCGCAGGTTTTGATATGCCACGTCCCACAACTGCCGAATAGACCCTTCAATGCTTTTTGAAGGCGCTAGATTCGCGGTCGGCTCGTCTCGTGTATCTTCTTGGAGCGTATTTAATGGTTCACTGGCTGAAATCGATTGCGGTGTTCCCGACGAATCGGTCGTGCAGGAGGGTGCCTTCTCCGCCAGCGCTCTCACCTGCTGCCGTGGACTCGGGTGGGCATGATGTGGTTCTCTGGAGATGTCATCTTTCTTTGGACCATGGATGAAGTCCTTCAACTTCTTCTTCAGATTCAGACCCATCTTGTCTGATCCACTGATTCAGGAATGATATGAGAATGGCAAGACCTAGGTGCTGCCAACTGGGGCGGCAACATTTCGATGAGGGGAAAAAGCGGCTGGACTGCCCAACGCCCTTTTGCGTCTTGGTGACCAATAGAAACGAGGAACTCGAGTCGAGGTCGCTTGTATGCGGCCAACCGCCGCCCCTTACCAGTGCAGATGGCATGATCCAACTGGGTCCAACATGCCAAGGACGGGTCAGCCAGCCAGCAGCATGACCGTTTCAGTGAGGTAGAGTTTCTTAACATCTCACTGACAGCGATAGAAAAAAGCATTTTAAACTTATTGATGCGTATGAAGTGAGTGAATTGTCTCATGACACACTGACGAAGGGGCAGTGAGCTGAAGAATCATATTCCTGATTGATGCTGTCCAAAGTTGGGTGCCTTTCATCACCACGGCCAGAATGGCATGCAAAGCAGACACGGAAGATAGCCATGCGCGGCTCTCTGCATTTGGTGTTATCCATTGCGGAGAATGTCCCCCGCTGCCTTTAAATCAACAGGCATACTTAGATTTGAAGGTTTCGTCTGCCTGCATTATATTAACCAAGTCCCCTCTCTCGCTCCTATGTCGAATTGTGTTCATGTTCAAACACTTTTTTGCGACTCAATAGGGCGTATAAAATTTCAACTCGAACTGCCGAGAATAGTGTCCCAATGGGGTCGGAAGATGTCTTCGCCGTGGACTATGTCCAGCCAGAGAACGCTTCTTAGACACGCGAGTACACTAGCCCAACTTTTTACTTGGGTCAATGCCACGACATCTCTTGCCAAGCCAGTCAACCAGGTGTAGTGCTGGGTTCCCTGAGAGGCAACCATGCCAACAGTCAGAAGCCAAACGAAGAGACTGTTGCTGGAGTGAGCGTATGGTACGAGCTCAACCAGACTTTCCATCAGCCGATTGACAATCGTGTTGAATATGACAGCGTGCGAGTAATATGTCGGACCCTGGATGATGAATATGTAGAGTATGGTCGCCAGCCGGATACTTTCACTAGATGCCGTATTTGGCTCTGCTGCTTCTGGAGCTGACAACAGAAGTCGGTGTATGACAAAACATGAAAGGTCGTGTAGTCTTGTTGGTTGTAGCCGTACTTGCTGCGCGCGTCGGAAAATACTTCGAAGCCGTATCAATACGTTTTGGACCTCGTTCTCGATCTTGACATCACCAAGATGGGATAGATTCCTATCCAAAACAGTTGGATCTATCTGCCATTCTGAAGGCGTTGGGACGCCATCGCCGATGCCTACGTCGTTCTGCGTTTCAAATTGAGGCAGGCCAGTAACAATCATCGACACCCTTCGAAATCAGACAACGTTAGTACATAAATGTTGTGCCATAAAGATTGTCTTCAACGTACCAGCTGACCATCCTTGCAGTCAGTGGACTAGTTTGTCTCACTGAGTTGATGCCCCCACGCATATTGACAAGTCTTTTCACTCCATCAACGTGCATTTCGCTAACTTGGATATTTCCTTTGCCAAACTGTTAAATGAAGCGACTTAGTAAACATGCGACAACTTTGATCCTCCTGACATTCCGGCTAGAACGAACAAGATAAACTCACCTCGATAGCTGCTAAAGTGATGACTGAATTCATGGTCCCATCCTGAATAGCCATTGAGTCATCTTGAACCTTCCGGCGAAGTAGAGCGACTGAATCCGCCATCAGGATTTCTGATGACTGAAATCCTTTTTGAGCCAGCAACTCTTCGTCGAGACATGCTGTTTGTAAAGAGACATGAAATAACGCTGGATCGCCGAGAGCTAACGGCCACCATGAGACGAGGAATGGATTTGACGTCGCGTTCAGGTCTAGAGGGTAGTATTCGAATGCGATCTTGTGGAGAACTACATGGGTCAATGAGCTAAACGTGGATCAATGGCTTTAGTCGTGATATGCATACAGCTGTGAATAAGACGTTGAACTTGCTCCCGCGGCAGTCTAGTCTGAGGATAAGAGTCAAAAGGATCAAGAGATCCAAAGCGATAGTTGGTCAAAGCACCGGATCCGTCCAGCGGAGGTCCCGGCGACGATATTGCGCTACCCCCCGGTGCGGACCCAGAAGCAGCCGGAGCAGCCGTCAGGGGTTCGTTGGCGTAGGCGCACAGGACCTTGCGCTTGATGCAGCGGGAGCACCGCGGCGTGCGGAGGTCGCAGCTGTGTTTAGACTTTGCACACGCAGCACAGGACCGGCGGAGGGTTTGGCGCATGTTTGTGCGAGATCGACTGGACTGGGGGGATGAGGACATGGAAGAATTGGACTGGAGTGAGTCGATGGTCCCCGTGCCAGTGATGTCGAAAGGAGGGAAAGATGAAAGTGATCCAATGGTGGAGACAATGGTCTGAGAGCTTCGCCCGCGTATCCGCGAAAGACTTCAGAGCTGGCTCATGCTTGTGAGTTGGCTTCTTGCGGTGCTCTGACTGAAAAGAGTTTAGTCGCCGCAGTTTCAATCGTGAGGGATCTCGTTGCTCAGTTCCCCCCCTTGTCAAACTCCAGTTTTGTTTGCTGACAAACGTCGAGTTGATTACCGAAAGAGGTTTAGTCTCCGCAAGTCAATGAGATGCCAAGACTTCACAGGGCTGGCTTCTCCCGCGGTTTGGGAAGAGAAACGAACGATGTTCTGCATGTGGCCCAATTACACGGAGACCAGTTGAAATGAGATTGTTTTGGTGGTGCTGACTGGATACGAATACGCAAGACGAAGACCCCTTAGACGTTTTGCTGGGCCTGCCTGCCTCCTTTAAAGAGATGCCGAGATGTCCCTTAGATGCTCTCATGGCGGGAAAGACGATCCAGCAACGCCGTTGTAGACTTCAACATGGCTTCAGCAATTGTCGACACGCCTATCGTACAGCCTGAAGTAAGGCAAACATGGCATAACGAAACGATTCTGCCGTCTAGCACGCTGCCGGCTTTCTTTTCGGGCTGGTCAGCATGGCAGTTTGTCGTCACCTTCCTTCTCGGCGTCGTCGTGTACGATCAGGGTACGAACAAAACTTGGGCTCCTCCATGATAGTAATGACGACACTAACACATTGCTAGTGATGTATCTCAAGAGGAAAGGCTCAATTGCTGGACCCGCGTTCAAAATTCCCCTCATGGGGCCCTTCATCCAGGCTTTGCACCCCAAATTCGAGGAGTACCTTGCCCAATGGGCGAGCGGTCCTCTCAGTTGCGTATCAGTCTTCCATAAGTAGGTACTCTATCCAAGTCAAAGGAGAAAGTCCTCAAGGTCGCATCGGTGCATCCCCTAATCATTGATATCTCAGGTTCGTTGTTCTTGCTTCTGACCGCGACATCGCCCACAAGGTCTTCAAGTCTCCAGCCTACGCCGAGCCATGCATCGTCCCAATCGCCAAAGACATTCTAGGCCACAAAGCTTGGGTCTTCCTCCAAGGCAGAGAACATGCCGAGTACCGAAGGGGTCTGATGCCCCTGTTCACTAACAAGGCAATGGCAACATACCTCCCGGTCCACGAGAAGGTGCTGGGCGAGTACTTTGACAAGTTCGTGGCCGCTAGCGAGGCGAACAACGGAAATCCAATGGCTTACATGGCTCTCTTCCGCGAAATCAACTGCGCGCTCTCGTGCCGTACCTTCTTCGGCGACTACATCTCCCAAGATGCAGTCAAGAAGATTGCCGACGACTTCTACCTCGTCACCGCAGCTCTCGAACTCGTCAACGTCCCTCTGTCGATGTACATTCCCGGAACAAAAGTCTGGCTCGGAAAGCGTGTGGCTGACCAAGTCCACGCTGAGTTTGCAAAGTGCGCGGCCGCGTGTAAAACCAACATGGCCAAGGGCGCGACACCGACATCCATTGTTGACCACTGGGTGCTGCACATGATGGAGTCCAATAGGTACCGTGAGAAGGTTGCTGCTGGCGAGACCGATGCTGTGAGGCCTTCGAACATGATTAGGGAATTCACCAACGAGGAAATTTCAGAGACGCTCTTCACCTTCCTCTTCGCATCGCAAGATGCGTCGAGCAGTGCCACGACCTGGCTATTCCAAGTCCTCGCGCAGCGCCCTGATGTCGTCGAGCGCCTTCGCGAAGAGAACCTTGCCGCGAGGGGCGGCGACAGCAGCAAGCCCTTTGACCTCCCCATGCTGGAGTCGCTCACCTTCACCAACGCAGTCATTAAGGAGCTTCTCCGTCTCCGGCCACCCGTCATCTTCGTCCCCTATCTTGCAACCAAGAACTTCCCCGTTACGCAAAATTACACCGTCCCCAAGGGATCCATGATCATTCCGTCATGTTACCCGGCCCTACACGACCCCAATGTCTACCCCAACCCCGAGTTCTTCGACCCCGATAGATGGATTACTGGAGATGCTGAGTCCAAGACCAAGAATTGGTTGGTATTCGGTGTTGGACCACACGATTGCCTTGCGAGGAGGTATGTGCCACTGACAATGGCTGCCATGATTGGCAAGGCGGCGTTAGAAATTGATTGGAAGCACCATGCCACGGCGAAGTCAGAGGAGATCAGGGTGTTTGCTACCTTGTTCCCAATGGTAAGAGCCCGGTCACGCCTAAAT